ACAAGTATACAACGTCACACAATACCTGTAAGCAGACGCGCGTAAATCTTCTCCTCAGAATGTACTCAACCGTCCCTTCGATGTCATAATTATCTTCCAAAGTGAAAGCCGACATCGCGCATAGGTTACTCTCGCTCCTCACTCAAGAGAGACCCAGGCAATCAATCAAGAGAGGATTGACTACAGCTCTGATTAAAATCTGGGCAAAGCACACGATTTGAAGAAGTGGGGCTTTGTCTTCTTTCTTCTTCTTCTTTCTTCAAAGCACACGATTTGAAGCCGTGACCTCCCGACAAAGAAGGTGGTTTCTCTCGCTCCTCAATCAACAGATATCAAGGCAATCAACCACAAGAGGATTGACTGTGCAGCTCCAATTAAAAGAGGATTGAACTTGTGACCTCCCAACAAAGAAGGTGGGTTTCTCTCGCTCCTCAATCAACAGATATCAAGCCAGTCAATCAAAAGAGGATTGACTGTGCAGCTCCGACGAAAATCCGACCGTAGAACAGGGTTTGAACTTATGACCTCCCAACTTAGTAGAAGGTGGTTTCTCTCGCTCCTCAATCAAGAGAGATCTGGGCAATCAATCAATAGAACAGAGGATTGAGTGCAGCTGTGATGAAAATCTGGCTGGCACAGAAAAGAGAAAAGTCAGCTGGATAAACCAACGAAGAAGACCTTTCCAAAAGAAGAAAAGGAAAAAGAGAGCCTGCCCATTAGTAGTTGACCAATAGCATGTCATTTGTCAAGCAAGATTGTCTCAGGCGGCTTGCAGTAGTAATAACCTAGTCAGAATAACGAGCCCATACATTTGAATTTCCACGTCTGTCTGAAACAGTAGTTAAAGAAATACATAAAATTTTCGGTGATTGAAATTTTCACCCGAACTTCAATGATCAAAGTAATTGCATACATTTAAGATTATCATTTTTTTTCCCCCAACAATAATCACAACAAGTTTGTTATTACAGTAGATATATTACTAAGTATATCCGCCGCTACGCCCGCGGCTAAGCGGACACGTGGCGGCCAGCATTGGCGGGGGAGAAATTTGCAAATGAGGAGGGTCGTTTTTCATTCAATTTTTGTAATTGGAGCACACAGAAACAGAAGTCACCTCTCTCTCTCTCTCTCTCTCTCTCTCTCTCTCTCTCTCTCTCTCTCTCTCTCTCTCTCTCTCTCTCTCTCTCTCTCTGTGTGTGTGTGTG